CCCATCACTAAGTGAGTTGTACGAAACCCCTCCAAAAATCAATTAAGGCCATTAGCCTTTTGTAGTCTGTTATTTTTCTGTGATGAAAGCACCAATATTAATTTATTAGAATGTTTTTTGGATTACAGCAGGGCATTAAAAATGTCAGACTTTTACACAGAGATGTGTCTCTACGATCCAGCTGGTGACGTATTTCACCTGGCTGAAAATGAGCTTACAACTTGTTGAAATAGCTCCCAAAAACAAAGACATCAAGTGTTATTTTGAAGGAGCAGTTGAGTGAAAAGCCTGCTTAGCTTTTCTTTAGCTAACTCCCTGTTACACAAAGTCCTTACCTCATATTTCAGGTGCAAAGAGAGGTCAACAAGTCTGTAAAATTGTCTTATTTTCATTTATACCCATGTTGATTTTTTTTGGACAGTTAGTATAAATGTCTTAATACATTTATTTTGTTTTGCTGGTTACATTTACACCGGTCAATGGACAATGTCCAGCCAAGACAAGGATTTTGTCTGGACAAACGTTTGGTTTGCCGGTCATTTTGACTGTAAACATACTCTGCAAATGGATTTTGATTTATAGCGGAGCTCCACGCGCGCGTGGGCGGAGCCCCATAGCTAAGGTAATCTACCCATCCCAGAAAATTTAGTAATCACGTGACCGACCGACCGAGCGACCGTCCGTCCGCACCACAGGCATACCAATGTTTACTCTCACACTTTCTAGCTACTTTGGGAGCCCAGGAGGAAGCTGATTGCACATCAATGTTGTCATCAATTGACAGCTGTCAAAACAGGGTATCCGCTGACCAGTATCAAGGTCGGGTATTTTTTTTGAAGTTATCTGCTGACAATTTATTCGTTGTCAAATGATTGCAGGCTTACGTTCACTTTTTTTAAAAATTCATATCAAATATGTTGTGTTTATGTCAGTATCGACCCGCACTATTACGATTTTGATTTCAAACTGACCTCAGACGCAAAACTTCAGCCAGTTTTTTTAAAATACAGGGGGGGAAGACCTTTTCTTATCATGGTCACGTGTTGGTCACGTGTTGGTCACGCTCCACGTCCAATTTTTATGCTCTGATTGGTTAAAATTTGACAGGTGAGTTCATGCGCAAAATTTATGTAGCATCTTGAAAGTTGTTTACTTTGACAGCTGAAGCTGACAGAGTTTTGAGTCAACTTGTGATGTTTTTAACTGTCGTTTTCCACTGGATGTGCAAAACGAAATACAGCTGCTATCAAGAGTGTTCTCTTATTCATGGCTGGTTTGTTTATTGGGTTTTTGGTTGAGAAATGCGTCGCTTGTCAAAGCCGATAATCCCATTTCGGATGGCATCGTTTTTGTTTTTCACCTTGCTGGATGCGTGCGAGAATTATAAAGGTTCAAGCGATCCTTGCCTTACTTGATAGCTTTCAGGAGCTGCATCTCGAAATATGGTAAGCCTGAGTAATTATTGTATTTATATTTAATTTCATGAAGTCCAGCGGCGCAGTTTATGAAGCTAGTTTATGCACGTTTGTATTAAGATTTGACTGAGACACTGATCTGACCTAGTATGAGGTTTGATATAAGCTCAAGCTTACAGAACTTTAAAAAGCCTTTAGTCGATATTAATTCACCGTAAATGGAAAGAAAAGACTTTCCGAAGAATATTTAGTTATAATTTTGGCTGTAGAAAGAAAGCTTTGAGCGATTTTCTTGTCCTGCGTTCATCTTTGAAAACAGCAAACAGGCCCGGGAAACCGGCGGGGTAAAACATAAACTTAATCTTTAAGCTTACTAGTAAAAACTTGAGGATTCTTACACATATTAAAACGTGCACTCAGCTGTACATATCGACAAAAGCACGCGATATAATGAAAAATACACTAAGTATATCACAGTAGGCACGCAATATATTTGTTAATGGACTCCGTATATAAGGAAAATATGTCAATATATTCATTAATGGACCGCTCATAAAGGTATGAATACTAGATATAGTGGTGTCCCGAATGCATATAATACTCATCGGAAGACACGTGACAGTGTTGGCATTCCATAAGGAACTGTTGGAAACGAATGACATAACACTATACTCAACTGAGAATGAAGGAAAATCTAGTGTTTGTGAAAGATGGAACCGTACAATTGAAACCAAAATGTGGAAGCAGTTTACTGTCCAGGGTAATACCCAATATCTCAATATACTACCAAAAATACTGAGCCAATATATAATAACACCAAACACAGCTCCATTAAAATGACACCTGTAGAAGTTAGTAAAAAGAAGTATGAAAGTGCCGTGTATTTCAGTCTGTATGAAGATATGGAGCAATTGTCATCTAAACCTAGGTGCAAGGTTGGTGATAAAGTTAGGATAAGTACGTACAAATCCAATCACTTACAGATTAAACATGATTAAAGGATCTCAATAAGGAGGAAATACAAGGGAGCTTTTATGACCCTGAATTACTGAAGGCAAAACAGATGTATTCCGAAAACAAGCTCTTGTGAAATGATTGGGTTATAGTGACGACTTTAAGTCTTGGATTCCACTGAGCAGGTTACAGGATTTATCTAACCAATAGTATAAGTGGACGATCATATAAGAAAGCTAGATACTAAGATCCGTAGTAAGGAAGCTGAGCTTAACGCACTGTACACTAAATTCCAAAAGTTGGAAGAAGAGATTGCTACATTACACCACAAGAAATTGGTTGTGAAAAAACTGGAAACAGCTGAAATGTCATTAACCGGCGTCAAAAAGTGATCTTTGAAACGGAAGAGGAGGAGGAGGAGAAAGAGTAAATGGCTTAAAGAAATATTAATATATACTATTTATAATGGTGTATTTATTGGAAAAGAAATATGTCAATCAATATATAAACTTCCTCAGATTTTCTGGAATGAGAAAAGCGTTTAATTCGCGAGCAAACTAACATATTTATTGTACTACTGAGTTGACCATCATAAAAAAGATAACACATTCTTTTTTTCCTTGATCGAGGGCAAGCTACCATGACATGACAAGAGGCGCGTTGGCGTCTGATCTGTCGATTTCCGTTTAAATACGGAAATAAAGAAGCAACCTTTAGCTGTAGACTATTACAAAATAAATATATTGCAGCACCCCTTCAAACTTTATCTAGTAATAGTTGGCACTACAGCTGCCCCCGCTCTGTATGTATCGTGGTCGGACAATAGTCTTCTTGTTTGTATAGCTCTTTAAAATATACCGATTCATTATGGACACACATATTCCATAGGAAAGGTGAGATAAGAACAGGAAACGAAAAGTTTGATGCACTGATTCAGTTCGATTTTAAGCATCTCAGAGCAAAACATTTTCAGGTTCGAGAATCTCTCATTCTAAAATATAAGCAGAGACTTGATTAGAAGTTGTAATTCTTCACTATTTCCCTCATGTTATTAGCTGCCAAAAAACAAAATTATGAACTGTAAACTAAAGCTTCACTCAGGACTAAGGATTCTACTGAAAAATATTGAGGGTGTTACATGCGCTAGAAGACCATAGGCGTACGGGCAATTTTTTGCCAGGGGGGCGGTAATCCATTTGCCCAAAAAATTCTTGCAAGTTGCCCAAATTTTTATAAAACAGTCGAAAGGAAACTAGGGCCATGCAGCAAAATAGGCCGTACTGGCATATGAAAGTGGTTCGATACAGTTTTTCAGAGTCAATACCTGCCAAGTTTGAGCATAAACTAAGTCGCCACAAACAAGCATTTGGCAAAAATTGCCACCACAGTTGTATTAGATGAAGAGGAAAATTTGTCACGACCAGGATTGCAATGACATCGGAGCTGTCATAGCAACGAAATGACGCCATTACCTATTATACTTGCAGGAATATTTCTCACTGGGAACTGTTCTTACAAAATCGTTCAGGGGAGCTCTTTCCTCCAATCGTCGCCTCGATGTTCGTGAAGTTAAAACGGAACTGTAAGAGCGTTATCGAGATATTTTGGGATGAAGTTTTTATTGTTCGAAATAAGGTAAAAAAGGAAAATCTTGATGTTTAGTCGTAACCTGAAGAAAACGGAGCGCTTTTGACATGCAATTTCACCTCACAGTAGTTTCAATCTTATTAAAAACATGTATAAAAGATCATGGAGATAGCTCCTGCCAATTGCTATAAGGAAGGATTTGATTAGCGCTCGATCTTGTTAGAAAATTATGATTCTTCTCGTAATTCAAACTGAGAATTAGTCAGCCACTTCACTTTCAGACCCATTGCTGATGCGTGTTCTGCCACACACTGTTCTAGGAGCGGAGGTGATTCTAGAAAGTTATGCGGAAGTTTATTCTAATCAATTCATGACTGGAAATAGCCCACTCCAGCTAGTACAGTGAAGTACAGTGCCCAACAAAAAAAAAATCAGCATATGATACCCTTCCCTTATAACCAGAAACTCATCACGTGCTAGGCAACCACTGTCTCGTGTGAACGTAACTGAATTATTACGCCGACTTCTGGTTAAAATAGAAAATATTTATCTCTTCGAAATAATAATAATAATAAAAAACATGGAAACGTCTTTAAAAACTGGCTTTGCCCAAATTTTCTCTTGCTGCCCAAAAAATCTGAGTCGCCCAAACTTTGGGGGGGCTGCAGCCCCCCTCGTCCCCCCGGCCCGTACGCCTATGTAGAAGACCTACTTGTAGAACCACTTTTTAAAATTTTCTACGCATTTTTCTGTAAGAAAGTCCGGGAAATTACTATTACAGACAAATATATGGAAAATCTAAAGCAAGCCTCTGGTGAAATTTAAGGGCAGGAACCGAGCGTCAAATTTTTTTTTGTACAATCCTTTGCTTACAATTCATATTTTTTTCAGAACAGCCGTTTTACGGAAATCATTCGACTTTAGATTCTTATACAAACACTGTAATTTCTCACATGTTTGCCTACTGTTCTACTCAAGATGGCGTCAATAACCTTGACAAGGTCTTACAAAACGTTGCTTTCAGTAACTCTTGAGGAATGCAAAATGGTGAATGCTGCTCTTCAACAGATATCTTTCTATCTTGACTTGCGCAAGATTAACTGTCGACTCTTACTGTCGACTGTGAATGTTTGCAGATGTTGGCTAACCTGAGATCAGGCTCAATTTCCGTTTTGCTTTGTAATAACATTCCGGCGGGCAAGGCGAAACGAAAACAGATTTTAGCGGTAGCCGTTAGAGAGAATGTAATTGGGCCTGATCTCACTTTGGATGTTAGCCAACAGTACAATACATGTTCCCATACATGACGCTTCTACTATGCATGGCAACAACCTAAACAATATGGCGGGCGGTGTGAAGGATCTCTTTTCCCTAATACATAAACTTATCGCTTGATTCACTTACTTAATTTCAAGTAATAGACGTCATAGTTATTGTTATAGTTATGCCGAAGAAAAAGGGAAAGAAGAAGGCAAAAAAAAAATCAACTAAGTCCAGCGATGAACGCCAAACGTCCATGCAAGTTGGAGGCATTCCAAACAGAACGATGATTCAACACATGGCTTCAGAAACTCTCAGTGTTGCTGGCAGCAGTCGAGGCGGCATTTCCTCCAGAGAAAGGGTAGGAATTCGAAGTAAATACGGAATAGAGTAGTTCGCTACATGACTGAGTATTATTTTTTTTCATACCTGCATGGTGCTCATACAGGATCTAGAATAACCTGAGATCAGGTCCAATTTTAGCAGTTGTCATACATTCTCTCTTACGTGCTCCCGCTAAAATTGGGCCTGATCCAAAGTCTTACTAGCTTGTGCTCACTGTGACCAGATTTTGGCCGCAATGCTGATTGGCTGTTCATCGGAAGTTGAAAACGCTTATTCCTCGCGTGGCTGATAGCACTGAAAAATCTTTGTGAATGATCTGCCGTCAGCGGAGAGAAGGATTTTGCTGTCTTTTATATTGTTTTATGGTCTTGTGGTAGGAAAATATGCCTTAATATGTGCCATGGAAATTCAGAAAATTCAAATGGTTGTCCATATCTTCTCAGGATTTGCTTCATTTACGGAACTAATATGAGTGTATCGCGGAGTTGAATCCCTCTGCAGGTTGTTGACCGCAAACAAGATGCCTTTTGATTTACCAACAAACAAGTGCAAGTCAAAATACTGTCACCATCTTAAAACTGGTTTTAACGTTTAGTCGGGAATGACTTCTTTGAACGGGGTAGGCAAGCGTAGGCTCGCTGTGAAAGAAACCTCAATCGACAGCTGTGAACCATTAGACACATTATTATTTATTTATTATTATTTTCTTGAACTATTATTATTTATTTTTCCTTTGAAAAAGTTTGCAATATACAGTGTATTTCTCCAAGAGTTTTAAGTTTATACACTGAAAATCGAGGAAAATTGCTGAGGAAATATAAAGTCAGCAGAAAAATAGAAATTTCACTATTTTAAAAATTGAGCATGCCTAGCCAAAATATTAAAACTAGAACATTGTGTCGCTGTCTTTTCGAAAACGTTTTACCTTCTATGGCAACGGAAATAACCTCTAAGATCTTTACTCTCGTAAGAAGTTAAATGTGATTGTGGTGACTGTTTTATTGTTAGTTGAAAAAAAGATAAGACCTATTTTTTTAGTCAGCGAGTCTACATTTTTCCCACCTATGGAAAATTTGCATACTGAAAAAAAGCATGCAACGGAAGTAATAAAAAAAGTGAGCAGCAGACGTTTCATAGAAGGTTTGTATCAGGCTCTCTTTTCGTTTCACCTTGCCCACCGGAATGTTATTTTTAAGGCGAAACGAAAATAGAGCCTGATCTCAGGTTAGATCTGGACAGGTATTTTCGCCATCTGGGATTTGACCAAACTATGGTGTGGGATTCGGGAAAACGCAAAATAGCTTGACAGGTAACGTGATTTGACTGCTACCTGGGAAGCGGGATTCACCAAAATTTGGGCATTGGATGCAGCATTTTTGCTTGTCTGTCGGAATTTGGGAAGTCGTATGTTGTAGCAGCAATATGGGAGTTAACCAGCTCCTATCGGAGCAAGCTGTAGAGGAACGTAGATAATGATTATAAAATTGAAACTGTCAACAGATAAGTGGACAGAAGATTCACAGGCAGTCATGTCCAATACTGGGATCTTGTGTAATTTGTGAACCCCTTGATCAAGACAGGTGGCACTATTGGCCGATAGTTCAGTTAACATGTTGGCCGATTATGGTCCACTCTTGATTGCCATATCAGTCGACTGTCAGTAGACATGTCAATCGGTATGTCAGTCTACACTCCACCTATATGACAGCCAGTCTTAATAGGCAAGTTTTGTATTCCCGACGGCCCTAGGATGAGCAAGGTTAGTGCGGGTCAACTTCTTTGCAAAAACAAAAACAAACATAGGCAATTTGCTGCTGAGTCACTGGAAAACGATAGAAATCTTAAAAATAGTAACATTTCAAAACTTAAACTTTATCAGTAAGTCAAAGGGATACCTGTTGCAAACAACAAAATTGTGGGAAAAGCTGATCGTATACTTAACAGAAGAAAGGATAAGGCGATGAACCCAAAAGAAGAAGTAAACTTTTTAAGCTTGAAAAGGGTAAATTTGTTAAAATAACAATATTTTATTTCCTTTAATTATCTTACTTTTTAGTATTCTATTTTACTCTTGTGTATATCTGAAAAATGAAGTTTAAACTGCTCAGTATATCGTCTGTATAAAATTCTGTGTTTGAGTTCTTGTCGAGTGAAATGTGCATACATTTTTCTTTACGTAACTGAATATTTTGATAAGTTTAAATAATGTTAGCTAGATGAAAGTTTATGTATAAATAAACTTATACTATTTTAGTCGTTTTTGTTTAAACTTATTTAACTTCCTAACAGTGCGAGGAATTTATGCAGAACGTCTGCCCTGTCAGTTAATTTTTTGCAAAAACACAAGATTTTGCATTTTAATTTGCTCCGTAACCATTCGAAAAAAATGTCAACTAAAAAGAAGGTCGCAGTTTAACTTGCAGGTTTTTGACAAGTATGTACACTCCAATTTAAGGTATGGCTAAAAGAAGTTTTAACCATCACTAAAAATAACATTATAATTGCTTCAGGGTATTATCTTGTTTAAGGATTTTGAAACCATTTTTGCATTTTTATTGAACTCACTCACCGACCACTATTTAAGTCAATTTCTGGTTAGGCTCATTGTTTTTCTTAGTGATGACAAGCTGATTTTCGTTTTGCTGTTTGAAACCGATGATTTCTCAATCCTAGGTTTTGAGACCTCCAAAACCTATCAGTGCTTCAAATTTTCCTTTTTCTCGGCCAGTCAGCCGCAGTTTTCTCATGTTTGTTTGTCTTCTTGGTGAAGAAGCAATAAACAAGCACTCATCCTAGGCTGCCCAAGAATATGAAACTATCGGTCGACTGTTGGTGGAATATTATATCGGTCGACTATTGGTGGCATATCGGTCGACTGTCGTATACAGTAATATAATATGTGTTTTAAAATCAGTTCGGGGAAGCTGGGTTTCAGTGTTATGCACTTCAAATGTAATATTCCTCGTTCTTTCAAGCCAATACAAACCAAAACAAAAGAAGAGTTAAATATTCCTACTTCTGTACATGTAAATCAAGAAAAAATAAGCACACCCCATTGCCAATGAAGCCTTCTCTAAATGGCAATAAACAGACCAACCACAACTCTTGAGAGTCTGTATACGAGTTTTGCTATCTTTACAATCCGTATGCATGAACAAACCACATATTCCTATTTCAATTAAGGTTGCTTCGGTGAAGAATGATGCTTGATGCGCGATCCATGTTTCATGGCCTACGGTGCATCATGGGATAAGTTTAGTAAATCATGAACCTAGACAGCAAACGCAATTGACGCCACTATGCTATGTCAGTTTAACGTTAAGACAGTATTTCAAAAGACTGAAACAGGGGCCTTTGGCAGTTGCTGCTTTTAAGACAGTGATTTGGGTTAGGTTTTGTTCTGTGGCCTAATATGCAAGTGTTGCAAATTTTTACTTGTGCGCGTGAGAATTTTAGATTGAGTTTTTTAAAACAAATACAAGGGGTTTGTTGAATCAGTATGGGTTTATTTATTTTTGAGGCAAATTTTTTAAAATTAAAAACAGAAGATAAAAGAATAGTGTTGATTTGTTTCATTGAAATATTCAGCAATGTGGCCCAGACACAGCTTAAAGAAGCCATAAAACCCTCTTCAATTAATGTGGAGTTGTTAAAGGAAGTGGCTTCTAATTTCTTTCTGTGATATTTTAAAAATGAAATTCCTCAGCTCGTTCATCCTTAAGAATTTGCTCAGCCGAGTGAGATGACAGCTCTCTTAAACACTTTTTTCACTTTTTATTAACACCTTCAAACAAATTTCAGTTTTAAATGGCCTCCCGTTCTTCCAATCAACATAAACAGGGCTGAACTTCCGGCTACAAAAGGGTCTACCATAAAGCACCACAGGCTTTGAAGAATGGATCATGCATCATGTTCACAAGAACAACCTTAATTGAAAAAGGTGTCTACTGTCTCTTGCGGCCATGAAAGTACTGCAAGTCCTACTAATGAGATGCCAATTACGGACTGTACGCAAGTTTTGCGATCTGTATGATCCATCTATAGGTGTATGGATCGACAAACTGTTTATCCTCTCATGCATGATGAAAAGTGCTACTAATAAGATGCAATTTATGGACTGTAAACGGCTCTTTACGGACTATAAGTGAGTATGATCCATACGAAATGACAAACCGTATAATAATAACAATAATAATAATAATAATAATTATAATAATTATAATTATAACAATTTATCGACAGTATTTCTACATGGTTTGCATCCGTCATACTAACTAAAAATTAACTAACTACACTGTACTTACATAATCTTACTAAAAAATCACTCACTATTTACAATTCACTTAAAAACTGTTAAAACTGTAAAATCGAAATGAAAATACTATAAATACTTTGAGTAACCATAACTAGCGCATGCTGGCCCTACTCTTTAAAATTGTAAAACAATTATTTTTAAGAGTATTAACGCAGTCCAAAAGAAAAAGTGAAAACCTCTTGAAAACGTACATTAATAAATTATTGACAAAAGGACAAAAAAAAAAAAAATCAGTCAATTTGGCAGGTAAAAGTGAAATCCTGAAAATATTAAATTATTTTTCCTTACAAAGCAAGATCTCTGCCTCACTACCTCACAGGTGGATCCAGTGTGGATTGCCCTTTGTATAAAAAAAATTGTCTTACATGTAATAATAGAAAGAAAGGCTGATAATTTATCACGAATTTATTACAGCAGCAGGTTATTAAACCATTTTCCAATCTGATAAGTAGCAGGTTGTTGCATTTTTTTAATTAACTGAATGAAATGAACCTTTGCGACAAGAATCACTCAAGTGTGAAAGAAGCACTGCAGTGAGCCATCATTGATCAGCAGGCTGCATGTAAATATGCAGATCGATGCAAACAAGCAAGAGCCATAACCCTGAATGAGTACCTTATTATACGAAACAAGAACATGCTTACAGCGGCATTCAGGTCCCAGGCGATTAATTCTACAAGAAATACGAGTTACTCACTAAAGGTTTTTTACCTCCTACTTTATCGATGTCGATACGTTTTATTTGTTTCTGAATAGATTTACACTGTAGTATGAGTGTTAGCGACGCCCAAAAATACCTCTGCAGTAGCAGCCTATATGCATGTATAAATACACAAAAATTCAAGGGTCTCGCTTCCAGAGAAATTGCATCATTGCCAGATATCGAGAAAGTGATTTACATGGCATGTCATTTCAATCGCTGGAAATAAATTGCATGCTCATCACAAGACTCATTTGCATACAGTGAATTAGTTTACAACACCCGACCATCGCAATTTTGCTAATTAAGATTCTTATTTTTTTTGACCACTCAGTAGTGTTCACTTGCTCCAAAGTAATCAACGCTTTCAAGCGATAGGATTCGTTGACCGACATGTTTAAGAAAAGCTCTAAATTTAATCTTTCCTAAGCTTTCTTCACAAAACATGCATGGCTTCGATCACACAAAGATTCTTAGTCCCAGTTTCCACGGTCTCCACAAGGAACGCTTGGCATAATGACCTGCCTTTTGTGTCCCAAAAATTCTGGGGGATACTTCCAGCACACTTCTTGAAACCTTTACCCTATTTCAGACCAAAATCTGTGATTTTCCCTACCCTATTTTACACCTGAAGCCCTGGAGCCCGGCACGTGAGTGAAACACATGACAGGCTTTTACAGCACATACACGGTAGTTGGCATAAACATTAAAAGGGAAATGATCTTATTGCCAAATGATGAAGAAGTAGCTAATTCTTCGAAAAAACATACCCAATTCAGGACTAGAGTGCACAAACTGTACTCTACTTCAGACCAAAATGGTCGAAATTGATACCCTATTTCAGACCAAAACAGCTAAAAGAACATACCCTTTGGCTCGGCATACCTATATATATAGCCTATATAAGGGACTACCCCACGAAGCGAAAAATGCGTTGCAGATTATGAGTCTCGCTGCTAATATTGGAAATTAATGCGGCTTGAATTAATGCAAATTTATTGGAAAATGACTTTCAAATAATTTATAAAATTGATGTATGTAAAAGACAGATCAAGTAACATTTCAGAATGAAGCAAATGTATGTGACACTCACAGAGAAAAACTTGTTGAGACAAGAGAAAATGCAAAGTTAAAGATACAATCTGAAAAGGAAACTTTGTTCTTGATACTTTCCCTGTCATACAACAGACTGTATGATACTTGGCTTCATACCACAGCCTGTATGATAGGGCTTCATACCACAGCCTGTATGATACGGCTTCATACCGCATTCTGTATGATAGGGCTTCATACCACAGCCTGTATGATAGGGCTTCATGTCACAGCCTGTATGATAGGGCTTCATACCACAGCCTGTATGATAGGGCTTCATACCACAGCCTGTATGATAGGGCTTCATATCACAGCCTGTATGATAGGGCTTCATACCACAGCCTGTATGATAGGGCTTCATACCACAGCCTGTATGATAGGGCTTCATACCACAGCCTGTATGATAGGGCTTCATATCACACCCTGTATGATAGGGCTTCATAGCACAGCCTGTATGATAGGGCTTCATAGCACAGCCTGTATGATAGGGCTTCATAGCACAGCCTGTATGATAGGGCTTCATAGCACAGCCTGCATGATAGGGCTTCATACCACAGCCTGTATGATAGTGCTTCATAGCACAGCCTGTATGATAGGGCTTCATACCACAGCCTGTATGATAGGGCTTCATACCACAGCCTGTATGATAGGGCTTCATACCACAGCCTGTACGATAGGGCTTCATATCACAGCCTGTATGATAGGGCTTCATACCACAGCCTGTATGATAGGGCTTCATACCATAGCCTGTAAGATAGGGCTTCATACCACAGCCTGTATGATAGGGCTTCATACCACAGCCTGTATGATAGGGCTTCATACCACAGCCTGTATGATAGGGCTTCATACCACAGCCTGTATGATAGGGCTTCATATCACAGCCTGTATGATAGGGCTTCATATCACAGCCTGTATGATAGGGCTTCACACCACAGCCTGTATGATAGGGCTTCATAACACAGCCTGTATGATAGAGCTTCATATCACAGCCTGTATGATAGGGCTTCATACCACAGCCTGTATGATAGGGCTTCATACCGCATTCTGTATGATAGGGCTTCATACCACAGCCTGTATGATAGGGCTTCATACCACAGCCTTTAAGATAGGGCTTCATACCACAGCCTGTATGATAGGGCTTCATACCACAGCCTTTATGATAGGGCTTCATAGCACAGCCTGTATGATAGGGCTTCATACCACAGCCTGTATGATAGGGCTTCATACCACATTCTGTATGATAAGGCTTCATACCACATTCTGTATGATAGGGCTTCATATCACAGCCTGTATGATAGGGCTTCATAACACAGCCTGTATGATAGGGCTTCACAGCACAGCCTGTATGATAGGGCTTCATACCACAACCTGTATGATAGGGCTTCTTACCACATTCTGTATGATAGGGCTTCATACCAGAGCCTGTATGACAGGGCTTCATACCACAGCCCGTATGATAGGGCTTCATACCACAGCCTGTATGATAGGGCTTCATACCACAGCCTGTATGATAGGGCTTCATATCCCAGCCTGTATGATAGGGCTTCATAGCACAGCCTGTATGATAGGGCTTCATACCACATTCTGTATGATAGGGCTTCATACCACAGCCTGTATGATAGGGCTTCATATCACAGCCTGTATGATAGGGCTTTATACGACAGCCTGTATGATAAGGCTTCATACCACAGCCTGTATGATAGGGCTTCATACCACATTTTGTATGATAGGGCTTCATAGCACGGCCTGTATGATAGGGCTTCATATCACAGCCTGTATGATAGGGCTTCATACCACAGCCCGTATGATAGGGCTTCATACCACAGCCTGTATGATAAGGCTTCATACCACAGCCTGTATGATAGGGCTTCATATCACAGCCTGTATGATAGGGCTTCATAGCACAGCCTGTATGATAGGGCTTCATACCACAGCCTGTATGATAGGGCTTCATAGCACAGCCTGTATGATAGGGCTTCATACCACAGCCTGTATGATACGGCTTCATACCACAGCCTGTATGATAGGGCTTCATACCACAGCCTGTATGATAGGGCTTCATATCACAGCCTGTATGATAGGGCTTCATAGCACAGCCTGTATCATAGGGCTTCATACCACAGCCTGTATGATAGGGCTTCATAGCACACCCTGTATGATAGGGCTTCATACCACATTCTGTATGATAGCGCTTCATATCAGAGCCTGTATTATAGGGCTTCATACTACAGCCTGTATGATAGCGCTCAATCAAAGAAACCTGGCCACTTTCAGGGTTCTTCATGGTTTCACTGTGACTGGTGGATCTCCACCCTGAGAAAATACTCCTCTTTCTCAGGTTTCAAGAATGTCAGAAGTGTAAATTAAGGTCGCGGAAGTTGATGCTCCACTTTAATAACAGCACAGAAATATAATTTCAAGAAATTAATGCAAAGCAAAGCTTTTAAATTTTTGTTAATATAATTTCATGGGGCATTAATTTCCTACGTGTATGATGAGGTTATAATGAGGTAAACTAGTTTGTTATAACAGTGACCTTTATGAAGCCAAGCAGAGAAGCCAAGATTCGATCACCGAGAATATCTCGATTTTATTTCAGCAACTAAGAAGTTTTCAGTGACTTTGAAATTTCACTAAAATGCTTAGCAATGATTAAACTCTCAAAGAATCAAACAGAAAAGAGGATGCCTTTTTTGGCAGAAAAGGTAATGAAAACTGAAGAGTAACAATATTAATAACCCTACCAATGATTCTTGTGTGCCATATGGTTGTGAAAAAGTCTAAATATTAACGGGAGGTTTTGCGTATTTATTTCTGTTACTGCTGACAGCTTTCGCAAGCCTTGTTTGAAGCTGAACTGCACAACCAGAGGAAGTTCATGAACGGCAAAGTTACATCAAGAGCATATGAACAGCTTACACCACAAGAAATCAGGGACCTCAAGCTGGTTTTTGATGTGTTCGATACAGATAAAAGTGGGTTAGTGGTTGTTCTATTGATCACCCTTCATTAAGCAATCACTTGCCAAGGAACTTATCCTCAGATTAGATATTGTAAAAGTGACCTCTATCATGCGGTCATGGCTTGTAGAGTGACAGGGAAGCTCTGTATCCATGAGACTCATCCCATTGGGGGTACTACCATATACGAGCGATATAGGTATGTGCCGCTGCGAAAGGTATGGTTTTCAAGCAGTTTACTCTGGGATAGGGTATATAAATCAGAGAGTTTGGGTCTAGAAGAGGGTATCATTTTCCATTTAGACTGAACCATTGGCTGAAGATTTTAGTCTAGACTAAGGAAACTGGGAATTACCACTCAAGAATATAAAA